CCTGTGGAGGGTGAGGATTTGGGGGCGCAGGGGAAAGCCGGGGTGCAAGTGAGAAGGTCTCAGGGACTCTCCCTGGGAAGAGGGTGCAGGGGACTGTAGTGGCTGGGGGGAGGGGGGCAGAAGAAAGGTGCGGGGGGAGGGGCACGCGGGAGGGGAGGGGGCGGAGCTCCAGGGACCCCCGTTCCCAGGGGGGGTCCCCCACTTACCCTCGGAGCAGGGACGCCCCGATTTGCTTGATGCAGGAAATGCTCTCGGCACCTCAAAGGGAGAGAAAATTCATGGGGCTCCCTGCACAGAACCCAGGCGTCCGGGATCCCAGCCCCTCCCCCACTAAAGCACCCCCCCCCCCAGCCGGGGATAGAACCCAGGCGACCGGGCTCCCAGCCCCTCCCCCCAAGCCGGGGAGAGAACCCAGGAGTCCGGGGCCCCCCCTCCAGTTTTCCCCGCGTGAATCGAAAGTGAAAGCTCCCCCCCACACACACGGGGGCTCCTACCGGTGGGGGATGGGCGGGCTGGGGCAAGCGGCAGCCCCCCGGCCTGGTGTGTCTCCATCCCGCTGCTGCCCCGGGACCCCGCCCGGCCTGACGCTGCAGGGCAGAATCCGCATCCCGCCCATTTACACGTGTCCTGCCCCGGGCCAGGAGCCAGGACTCCTGGGTTCTCTGCCCTGCTCGGGGAAGGGAGGGGGGAGGGGTTAGTGGTTAGAACAGGATGGGGGCTGGGAGCCAGGACTCCTGGGTTCTCTCCTTGGCTCAGGGAGGGGAGTTGGGGGGTTAGTGGTTGGGGGCTGGGAGCCAGGACTCCTGGGTTCTCTCCTTGGCTCAGGGAGGGGAGTTGGGAGTTAGTGGTTGGGGGCTGGGAGTCAGGACTCCTGGGTTCTCTCCCCAGTTCTAGGAGGGGAGGGGGATTTAGGGGCACGTGACAGCCTGGGCGGGGGGGAGGTTGTCGTGATCGATAGACGGGAAAACCGAGCAGTCGAAATCCCATGTTTCCGCGTCCCATCCACCGATTTGTTTTTCACCAGCCCCCTGCACGGCCAGGGGTTGGAGGCAGACATGGGGCCCAGAATGGCGTGGCCAGGCCCCGGCAGGTGATACACGGGGGCCGGGGCGTCGCCAGTCCGGGCAAGAGCCAGGATCGGCGCGAAGTGGGACCGTGCGAACCGTGTGCATTGTGCAGTTGTGAACGTGTCCTCGTGCGCTCGGTCACGACTACCCCAGGGTGTGTTCAGTGCAACCTCCATCCGCCCCGTCTGCTAACAGCGTGGCTGGGCCACGCCTGGATTGTGCTGGTTGGTTTGGGAAGTGAAGTGAAACTCGAATCCAAGGATGCATTCACACCACACCTGGGAAACCAGTCTGGGCCCAGAAACCAATGAACCCAAATTGGGGTGTCACAGGTTACGCCTGATTGGTGGACAAAGCACAGAGAGGATGAGGGGTCTTCCACACATGGGATCCCCCCAATCTAGGCCCCTGGGGTGCCGGGTTTGGCTGCAGCGTGAATCGCGCGTGCAAATCGTGCGGCGCCGTCGTGAAACGGGCTGCAATCACAAATAAGGTATTTGTAAGGTTAACTGGAGGGGGGGCTCCTTGCCTGGGAGCCACTGGGCCGAGGGCCGGCCTTGTCTAGTGGGTTAGAGCAGGGGGGGCTGGGAACCAGGACTCCTGGGTTCTCTCCCGACTCTGAGAGGGGGCTGAGTGATAGGGGCCCCAATCCGGGCAGTGCTGACTGGCACTAGTCATGCAGCAGCTGTGGGGTTAATCCTTTCTTTGCGCTGGGGGGCTGGGCTCCAGCTGTGAGCCAGCCCCTAGGGGGATGGGTGGGGAACTTCCCCTGCCCCATTGCTGCCCTGAAGGGGGCTCCCTGCCCCACCCGCTGGAGCAGCAGGAGCCAGGATGCCGGGGTTGATGGGCCCCTGAGTGTGACCCATGGGACTGAGAATAGAAAGGATGGGAGGTTCTGGCCCATGTCCCCCTCAGCTCCGCCAGCTGGGGGCACTGCCAGGGGGAAGCTCGCAGCACCAAGGGCACTGGCAGAGGGAAGCTCACAGGACCTGTCCTGTTCCCCACCCCCCACATAAGACCCGACCAGCTCCGTCCTTCGAGTTGATTTTATGTATTTTACACACAACCCCTCACCCTGGTATCAAAACAGCCACGGTAGAAAAAATTACAAAGGAAGAATCTTAAATACAGAGACCCCGGTTGGGGGCGAGATAGGGATGGGGGGGGGACCACAACGGATGGGGGGGCAGACGGATGGATGGGGGGTGACAATCACTGAGTAAATACAAAAGAGAGATAAAAAATCAGAGTCCAGAGGCACCCCTGTGGGGGGCGGGGATCTCTGCCCACTGTGGACCCCTCCCCCTGGCTGACCCCACCCCATTCTGATCCAGGGGGCGCAGCCACTAGCCGGGGTGGGGGACACCCCAGAGACAGTACATGGCTACCTCTAGGCAGAAAGTCAGTGCATGGGGGGGCAGCATGGGGGGCCCCCAGTGGGGGAGAGGGGTGAGGTACGCCCGGGGGGGGGGGGCACAGAACAGGGATGGGAATGAGAAGAGGTTGAAATTATGTTTCCCACAAATTCATTACATCATCAGTCCCTTCCTATTAGCCCCGCCCCACCTGTGACA